GATGAAGATTAAGAATTTTGCGTTTTATTTAAAATTTCCGGAAACTTTTCGGTCACAATGTATATATTTTACGATACGTTGTTATTCTTTTGCTGATGCTATGCTTTAATTTAATTTAACTTTAATTTAATTTATTATAATTTCGTTGCATTCATAATTTTGATTTTGAAAACCATTTGAATCCGCTGGCTAGACCTCTCGCTAATATCACACTCCATCTTGCTTTCCTAATGATCACCCTGATTAATTCAACTTATACGCCGTGATATCTGGTAAATAAGCCCTAGCTAATTATTCAGAGGCCCCTTAAAATAATTTTCAAATTATTATACATTTCATTATAGTATGTTTATATAAAATAATTTGTAATATAATGTTATTAGTCTTTAAGATTCCAAAATTTATTGTTAAGCTTTAATTTAAAGCGTTTCAATAAAGACATATTGTTAAATAAAAAAAAATGTGTATATATTAACTCTTCTATGACATATCTAAACCATAGAATATATACTATATATAGTATATATACTATATACCTTCTATAGATACACTGTAGCTATTCAGTGTATCTTCAAAATCGTCTCAAGAGAGGATTGTCTTTCCCGAAAACCTTTTTTTTTTTTAGTACTTCTAAAATAGTTTAGATAGCCTAAAATGTATCGCTCTCAAACTCTTTCCAACTGGACTTAACTTAAAGAGTTAAGTGGCAAGATTTCTACTCTCATCTTGAATATAGTTAAATATGGCAATTACTCACATCCAGGTTTTAGCTGAGTTAGTTGCAAGCATGTTAACCGATAACCACTCAGTGGGCACGATTTAAGTGAAACTCCCTTGTTTTGTCAGAGATTGTGAATAGCAGCATTCCTTAAAATGCTGTTTGATTTCATGTAATTACAAAAAAAAAGTGTTTATGGATTTATGTCAATGTTTATGATTGATTTGATTTTTTGCAAGGAACCCACACTTTATGGTATAATAAATTTCATGTTTGATATGGAGTACTCACTATTATATATATGTATTTGAAATTCAAACTCATCATATGTATTTGATTTTATTAATGGTACAGAAATCGCTGCTGAACTTATAGTTTTTTTATATATTAAACACTTTGTGATAATATTATTTATGTATATAGTGGTATTATCAATATTTTATTCTTTCATTGGATTTCACATAAATTTTTATTTATGGAAATATTTGTTAATATGAATGTTATTAATATATAATTTGATGATGCTCGAAAATGAATATTAAATTTTAATAGTAGTCAAATGCTTCATTAAATTGCCAATTTGGAATAAAAAAAATTAAATTTATGGTTGGGAGACACATAAAATGAATTAAAACAACTTTCAGCATAAAAATTTTAAATTCAGAATTTTCGGTGAGGCGTACTTGAAAGCAATTAAGACGCTAAGCACAGCAGCTGCGTAAATTTAACTCATGACAACGCTCTGACCTATAAATTTATTTAATAATTTATTAAACAAATTTTGCGAGTCCATATTTTTTTTTTGAATTAATTTCCAACATGTTTTGCAGCCTTAACGCATTGTCAATAAAACCAAATTACATTTGGCAGAAATATGGAAAAATGGGCTGGTTTTCAATTTGCGATTTAAAAACAAAATTAAAAATGAAGAACTGGTCATAAAAATATTCGGCTGCCAATAAACCAAACAAATTAGTAAAATCTTACAGATTTAAAAAAAATTTATTAACAAATTTTGGCGACTGAAGTACATCACATTTACGAGGCAAAAACTTCAACTAAAAGTGATAATTAAAAAAAAAATCTTAGTTGCAATTTCTCACTAACAACTACAAATAGCTAAATAACGCATTTTCGGTTTATTTAGATTTTATTTTATATTTTTTTATTTTAATGCAAATAGTCATAAACGTTAAGATACGCAAAACGAAATACTTTTTCTCTAAAAAAAAACAGAATACAAAAGCCACAATGGCATAATCGCAAATATGTACTGTGAAAATGTTTTCTTCTTTATCTCATAAAATATTAAATGAAATACTAAACAAAACAAAAAAAAAACACTAAAATAAAAATTGATATTTTCAAGTTGCATCTGTCAGTGGCAGCATTTTTACATTGAAACATCGAAGTATCTGACAATTTCGCAAGATACTTTTATGAGCAACGCATACGTTCGCTGGTTGGCGTATTTACATTTGCCTTAACATTCGTTAGCAAATAAATTACACTTAATCTCAATGAATGATGTAAACATTTGCACTAGAAAATGATTCTGTTTTTAGTATCTTTTCATTGACATTTAATTTGTAATTGTATACTCCACTACAGACACTTCCAAAGATACCAGATACGCGTATGCAAATGCAAAATATGATGTCACTGCCTTACAAAGTAAAGAGAACGGCTACAGAAATCTACAAAATCTACAAAATCTACTTAACATTCAATTCATTTTTCATTTTTCAATTTTGTAGCGCGATCGTATTACATCTGTGTTTAGCCAAATTAATCTATTTTTTATGGTATAAATTTTTTTTTTATTTGTAACTTTACTTTTAGGCCAAACTTAATTTTATTTAAGCTCGCCTTAAACATAATCTTTTTTGGTTGCTGGATGTTTTTTGGTTTTTTGTACTTATTTTTCAAATCAAAGTTTTCATTGAAACTCGTTAATTTTCGTGCACAAAACTTCACACCTTTAAGGTTCTCTACAGATACTTGATAGGCCGAGTTTATCTCAAATTACAAAATCTATTTTACATATCAAATTTATTAATCCAATAAAAGTAAATATTGTAAATTTTTGTGTGAGTCTTTGAAAAATTTTCCAGAGCTTAAAAATTTTTTTAAATTTATTTTTATCATTCTAAAGTTATTTACATCAACTAAAACCCTACAGAATTTCTTGAAGAAAGATATGATCTTACAAATGAGACTATATTAGTAAAATATCTGTTAAAGTATCTCACTATAAATAGAAGCATTAATATTAGTTTACACTGTTTTTGAATAAGAACTGTGACTATTCCAACTACCTATAATGTTATACAATGATAAGTCATATCTTCACAAAAGCTTTATTAGGACTATAGGTTGTTTTTCGAGAGTAGCAGAAGATAGGGACAGATGGAGGCAGATCGTGAGGAAGGCCAAAGTTCATACTGGACTGTAGTGCCAAATAAGAAAAGAAGAAGATAAGTTATTTTCCAAACTGAGCTTAGGCTTTATTGTAGATAATGAGATTTTTGCGATTTTGATTAGCTATATTCTTTTTCTACTTCTTCTTGGTTCCGTTAACTTCTCGTAGAGCATAGGGTCTCAAGTTTGATCAAGTCAGATACTATAATAAAGGTGTTATCGGAATATGTTGCTGCAGTTGCATTACTTAAGACACACATAACAACTATTAACAGTATGTGTAGAATGCGTCCCAAGATACTTCATTGTGGAACACCAACACTTATGAGTTGCTGCATTTATAAGATGTTTCAATTTTTGACTGTACAAATATCGTTTATTAAAGGATAACTTTCTTAGTAAATAGTGTGAATGAAGATCATACTGTTACGAAGGAACGGTATGAAATATACCGAAACGACAACGAGGAAAAAGTAGTCGTCGGTCAACTCGCAAAGCAACAACAGGTCGGACGTCGTGATTCGCGGCGGTCATATTCATTTAGCAATGTATTTTAATTTTTTGCGACACGCAAATTGGAATTGGGTTTATATTTCTTTAACAGCCAGGTCAAGAACTATTCTTATACCTCAAATATATAACCACGGACTTAGTACATGAAAAAAACCAGAAATGTTTAATATAATATCAATACGTTCTGAACACTGAACTATTGAACGGCATAGCGCTAAGCCCAATCTACTCTATCCAATATATCCAATATAGTACGTGTCTACTGGCACTCAAGGAGGTGACATCGGAGAGCACCTGTTTTGTCTATGTTTAAGCTTGTCCAAAACCTTTTAACGAGTGTCTCACTTTGGTGAATAACTTTTCTAAGATCAAATAGAAATATCCCTCTCAATTGAGAGGGTTACCTGCCCTAATACCTCTCTTGTAAAAGCAAAACTTGACTAGCGATAAATGACCGTAAAAAACAGTTTCCACTGTATTTACCTTGCTTTACCTAATATCTGGAATGAGACCTACTTAAAACAGTCTTACTTCATTTATGCTTCATTATATAAATGCATCAAAACTATCTTGTAAAACAAAAAATAGTGGAATTAATATTTCTAATAGATAAAAAAAAAACTAGAGCTTCTATAAAAATTCAAGGCTCCACTATACTTATCGCTGACATTTACAAATCAAACAAAAAGCGAGCATTGCCTCTAATCTCTTTCAATTGCTGGGCTTTAAAAAAAATAAAGCATAATTTATGACCGCCATTTCAGATAGTTTTTCAAGTGATAAACATAATAGCCGCAATTATCTGAACATTAGTCAATCATAAACTGTAATAGCTCAGTTTTATTGATAATGAATTATTGAAATTACTACGAGCAATTAATTTTAATTTATTTTTTGTTTGCACTGAATTATGGAATTGCAAACGTAAAACTGACCAGACAATTTGATTTTAAATTGAGCAAATTTTGATAACGTCTGTCTGTGCCGTCTGCACTAGACAAGTCCATTCAATATACATTGTTGCAAAATTATTAATCTTTTATTTGCAGTTCTATTTAAATTCAATAGCAGATTGCATATAATTGCAGGCTTAAGTTGTTGGGTGTGACTACTACTTCTGACTACTTCTGTCATGGGAATGAAATGCTATTAAACGCCACTAAGCACTCAATTTCCGTAAAATTTATTAAACTTTTGAAATTACATGATTATTAAAAACTGATAAATAATATGATTTTTATATAAACAAAACAAAAAAAAAATAAAACATATTTGTTTATATCATTATTTTGAAAAATATTGTTTTTAAGTTGTTATACTAATTATGAATTATTTTTTATAATTTTCAGATAAGCGCTAGTAAATGCTTGGAAGCCGCATAATTTAGAGGTGGGTTCGCAGTTTATGTTATTAACTATAATTATTATTTATGTTACTATATTATTGATAGCTTTGTTAAAAAATTTTAATTAATATTTTTATACTGTCTTAAATTATATATCAAATTTCGTTAAGATAAAGAGATGTAAAAATGTTAAAATATGGCATGCGGTTCTTGCAGTCTCCTCAATTAAAGGTCCTTTTTGACTTTATATTATCATAATAGATGTTTCTCAAATATTTATTGTCTCTTTTATTGTTAGATATTATTAAAAGTTCATACATTTTGAAAACAATTAATATAATTTTTTATTAGGAATGTATACCTTCCTCTCAAAAAGTATCCGGATTTTGTTGTTTGTTAACTACTCCTTAAGTAATAGACCTTTTTTTTGTTTTGTTGGTGCACTCTTTCTTGACATATGGTACAAATTTGAGCACCATCTGTCAATTAGTTGGTTTACAGCAGCTGTTAATGTGAGATTACCTCAAGTGCATTTAGCGATTTTTACTACGGAAAATTTTTGTACGCGATTTTTTGACCAAACACTGCACCACTGTCATCGCTCAGGCACCATATTAGTCAAATCTGGATCCATGTGACTTTTTCCTATTCCTGAAACTCAAATTGCCCCTTCATAGTAAGCATTTTGAGTCGATTGAATCGGTAAAAGAGAATTCGCTGAAGGAACTAAAAGCCATACCTTCACGGGCCTACGAAAAATGTATGGAAGATTGGGTTAAGCGTTGGCATATGTGTATCGTTTCAGAAGGAGCATATTTTGAAGGAGATAAAATAAATTTGGAATAAAATTTAAATTTGTGTTTTATTTACAAAATCCGGGTACTTTTTGAACTGGAGGTACAATGAAATGAATTAGTTTTTGTTTGTTAAGTACATAAACTAAAAACGGCTGAATCGTTTGGGCTAAAATGTTAAAAAATGTTCGTCATACGCAGAACAGAATAATTACCGAAAAGACTACGATTTCCTTAATCAAGTAAAAGTAAACCAACCTGAAAAATCTACAGACTTGACCAAATCTCTATTTGCGCAGTATGTTAGTTCTGTCAGGTCGTTAAAGAAAGCGGCGTTAAAGTTTTTGAAGCTTCTCCTAGCCAATGATGAATCTCCGCATAATCGCAACATCGACAAAAATCCGTATAGGGTCGACTCAGTCTCATAGCATATCTTTCTAGTACTATACACAGTGACCGTAGTGGCAAGCAGGTTACGCTTTAATTGATGAAGCTGACTGGTGCGTTTTCTGTAATGTTATATAGAGTTAAATATAAATTAAGTAAAGCTGCTATATAAAGTCTTGAGACTTTCCTTTTTTTACTAAAAGAACTCAATATTCTATTTGCAATTGCTTTTCAATTTCTTTACTAATTATGGCAAATTCTATTATGGTAAATTTTTATTGATTAGTAAAGTAGTTAAGGTGAATATTATTATTTATTGCAATAAAATATAAAATATA